CTTACCATTCATGTCTCAGCATAAGCAATCCCTTCCCTAGGGATGGAATGCTGTTCTTCCCCTCTGGCCTGAGTCTAATAACGTTTTGCCTCTTATTTCTCTCCTGCCAGCACTCTAGGCTAGCTTTGTGAAAAGGATTTCTGCCCTTAAGGGACTCTTTTGGAAAGCCATACAGTGCAGTGCAACAAGCACTGTATATTGAGTCAAGGGACCTGGGATCACAAGTGATGTGTTCTTAGGCAAATCAGTTAACTTTTCTGGACCTTGGTTCTTCTGTAACATGTTGATATGAGTTGGACAGCATCTAGGTGTCAGAATACTAACAACCAATGTTTCTGCAGACATTACTATTCTAGTATTACCAGCTGGAATATTAATTCTAGCTGAGGCTATCAGTGTATAACCAACAGCTCTACCCATCCTCTACAGAATGACGTGGTGTAAAGAATATGGGCTCTTGAGTAAGACAGAACTGTTCAATCTTGTTACTCAGATCTGTTACCTAACAGATCTGGACTGTGTGAAAAAGCCCATGTCCTTAAGTTCCAAATTAAATGTCCTTCTTTATAAAAAGAGAGTGGATAATACCTATTTTATTAGGTACTATCGAATGTGGATCGAATCAGCTACTGTTTGTATATTCCTGGGACACAGATCTGTTCTTGTTGAAGGAGTCTCATGCACAGTCTTCATCTTACTCAACACTATCAGCAGTGTATGACACAGCAGATCACATTGTCCACTTTAATACATTTTCCTTTACTTGTACTCTTAGAACTCTCTCTCATTCATTTTCCTTTTTTTTTTTTTTTTTTTTTTTTGAGACGGAGTTTCGCTCTTGTTACCCAGGCTGGAGTGCAATGGCACAATCTTAGCTCACTGCAACCTCCGCCTCCTGGGTTCAGGCAATTCTCCTGCCTCAGCCTCCTGAGTAGCTGGGATTACAGGCATGTACCACCATGCCCAGCTAATTTTTTGTATTTTTAGTAGAGACGGGGTTTCACCATGTTGACCAGGATGGTCTTGATCTCTTGACCTCGTGATCCACCCCCCTCGGCCTCCCAAAGTGCTGGGATTACAGGCTTGAGCCACCGCGCCCGGCTCTCTCATTCATTTTCATTCAACTCCCTGACCTCTCCTACTTAGTCAGTTTGGTATAAATGGGGCTTCTCTATCAACCCTCACTATCAGACCACCTCATTCAGTTCTGTGGCTTTAAATAGCATCCTTAAGCTGATTACTCCAAAAGTTGCATTTCCAGCAGATACCTCACTTATGAAGTCCAGATTCACACGTATAGCTGCCCACTTGGTGTCTCCATTTGGCTAATTGACATCTCCATTTGACTAATATGAGTATTAAACTTAACAGGTCACAAACTTTTCATATTCACATCACCTCTTTCTTGGTAACTGGTAAATATAGTCTTTAGTTGCTTAGACTAAGAACTTTGGAATTATCTGAATCACCCCACATCAATCTACTAACAGATTCTCTTGGCATAATTCTCATGTATCCCTAGAATCTGAGTACTTCTTACCTTCCCTTCGCTGCCACTCTAGCCCAGGCAACTGTCATCTTCCATCTGGATCTCTGTAGTAGTCTCCTAACAACAAGCAGGAAAGGGGCTTCCATCCTGCTCCCTTTCCTTATAACAGCCAGGAAGATCCTTCTATGGCATCAGCAATATCATGTCACTTGTCATAAATTAAGTTTCCTGGAAGCTGACTGAGGTAGAGTTTAGCATGCAAGACTTTTTAAAGAGTGCCCTTGGGATCAACACTTGTGGAAGGAAAGAAGAAAGCAGAATTGGGCAGACAGAGAAGGCAAGTGGTTATACAAATCCAATGACAGACAGGCTTAGCCAACCATATGTTAGCTTTTTAAAGCTGGAATGGCTCCTCAGAGTTGTCCCAAATTGGGCTAACATGCAGACCTTTATGCTCCCTCACCAGTCAGTCATGGATGTGGTCTATTCCATGAGGCACACAACCTCAGCAAAGCAGCCCTCTACAGCTGCAGCAGCCCCTGAAGTGATTGTTAACAGTCAGCCAATAGCACCCATGGTAGTAGGACAATGAATAGACAATATTCATTGAAGAGGGATCTGGGTAACACAACACAGGATCCATCATATGACTCTTTTCCCTAGTTCCCTCCAGTGGCTTCCCATCTCACTCAGACTACAAGTCAAAAGTTCTTACCAATTCTCTCTGTCCACATCTCCTCCAACTCTTTCCCCTAATTTGCTTCTTTAAAGCCATATTTGCTACCCAGATATTTCTTGAACCTCTTCATCTCTTACTAGTGTGCTCCTGTTTCCGCACTTGGCATAGACACGTCAAATCTCTCAGAAGATTTAAATACTTGGCTATTGATCTATTCTCCCAAATATCTACAGGGCTAGCTTCTGCACTTTATTCAAGTTTCTGTTCAATTTTCACTGTATCAGAGGTACTTTCTCTTACCAACCTAAAGCAAATAACATACTGCCCTCCTATTCCATTCCCTTATTTTGCTTGATATTTTTTAGCATTTAAATTATGACCTGGCCGGGCTCGGTGGCTCACGCCTGTAATCCCAGCACTTTGGGAGGCCGAGGCAGGTGGATCACGAGGTCAAGAGACTGAGACCATCTTGGCCAGCATGGTGAAACCCCGTCTCTACTAAAAATACAAAAAAATTAGCCGGGCGTAGTGGCACGCACCTGTGGTCCCAGCTACTTGGGAGGCTGAGACAGAAGAATCGCTTGAACCCAGGAGGCGGGTGTTGCAGTGGGCTGAGATTGCACCACTGCACTCCAGCCTGGTGACAGAGCAAGATTCCATCTCAAAAAAAAAAAAAAAAAAAAAAAAGACAGAAAAAGAAAAAAAAAATTATGACCCAGCATGGTTATATTTGTTTCTTGCTCCCTTCACTTGGATACAAGATCCACGAAAGAGAGGACTTTGTTTTAATTCACTGCTGTATTTGCAATGAGTGTAACAGTGCCTGGCACATAGTTGATGCTCAATAAGTATTCATTAACTGTAATTATTTTGGAAGCAGGGCAGTATTTTACAGTAAATAAGAGTTAAGTCACTGGACTAAAACAAACATAGGTTTTATTTGTGATTCTAAACTTATGAGTTGTGAAATATAGAATATGTGATATGCTTTCTCTGTACCTGAGTTTTTGCCAGTTGTAAAATGAAGATGATTATAATAGACTGCATAATAGGCTTGGGATCAAATAGGACAATGTGTGTAAAGCATTGTTAAGCAGCTAAGGGATAATACTAAGAATCTAAAATTGTTTATAAGCACAGTGCCTAGCATGCAGTAAGCGCTTAATAGCACTTGCTTTTTAAATCATTATTATGATAAATATATGAATTGATTTATAGTTAGAGTTGTTTTTGATGAGCCTGAGATTATTATTTAAAGGATGCAAATAATTTCTTCAGTTTTTCATTTTAGAATGCCCTGTATATAGCCTGAGCTTATATTGTCCTCTTTCTTTCTTTCTTTTTTTTTTTTGAGACAGCGTCTTACTGTATTGCCCAGTCTGGAGTACAGTCTGGCACAACCATGACTCACTGCAGCCTCAACCTTCTGGGCTCAGTTGATCCTCCCACCTCAGCCTCCTGGATAGCTGGGACTACAGGCACATGACACCACACCTGGCTAATTTTTTGTATTTTTGTATTTTTTAGTGGAGTTGGGGTTTCATCATGTTGCCCAGGCTGGTCTCGAACTCCCAGGCTCAAGCAATCCACCCATTTTGGCCTCCAAAGTGCTGGGATTACAGGTATGAGCCACCATACCGGGCCTGTTCTCTTTTCAAGAGGGAGAAATTTGGTTTATATCTCAGTCTGCACAGGCTGCTCTAACAAAATACCATGAATTGTGTTGCTTAAACAACTGAAATATATTTTTTTACAGTTCTGGAGGTTGAGAATCCAAGATCAAGGTGCTGGTGTATTCAGTCCCTGGCAAGAGCTCTCTTCCTGACTTGCAGACAGTCAGCTTCTCTTTATGTCCTCATACCATCTTTCTTTGGTTCATCTCCCAGAGGAGCTGGGAGATCTCTTCCAGCTCTCCTGAAGCCACTAAACCCATCATGAGGACCCTACCCTAGGGTCTTAGTCTAATCCTAAATCACATCCCAAAGGTCCCGTCTTCAAATACCATCACCTTGAAGTTTAAAGCTGTAACATATGCATTTTGAAGGGACAGAAATATTCAGTCCATAACAGTTTAATTTTATGTCAGAAAGTTTCAACAACACAAATTTTAATATGTGGTATTGGAACAAAAGTTTTCATAAGTGCAACTTCTTCATTTTATGTATGTGTTTATACGTTGTGTTGAAATCTATTTAAAATTGGATTTATTTGAACAGGGGTTTGAAAAATTTATCTTTAAGGAATCTTGTGGTTCCTTTTGCAAAATTTTTGTTTGGTAATCAGAATCATTGTTCTATAATTTATCTGTTTTATACATTTGGACGCTTACACAATTGATTTTCGTAATTCTTCGTATGGATGGACTTGCTGCAATTCTTCATTAGAGTGTATATTTACTGTACGAAATGAAAATGTAGGCGGAAAGTCAGAAAATACATAAATTTTAAGCTCTTGTCAATCTACATATATGAGCATAAATTTTAAAAAGAAATCTTTTTCCCGGATATTTAAACTGTTGCCTCACAAATATGCAAAACAACTTTATCTAGTAAACGTTCCTCCTGCAGTAACAGCAGAAGGAGAAGATGTGAAGGACACGGGAAGCGAGAAGTAACTTTTAACGTCTGCTCCAGCCCTCCTGGACTAGCCTAAAAGCAGACGGTCAGGAAAGGCTTTGGAACACAGCATGATTTGCAAGGTGACTCCGCCGGCCTTACTCACGCGGGGGCGATACCCAGGTCAGACCGGATCGTCTATGGCCACTGCTGTAAGGGACACCAACAGAATAAATCAAAAATCGCTGCCTTTGAAGAACCAGGATATATCCCTCTTTCCAGCGAAGTCTTATATTTTACCATTCCGCGTATATAATAAAGCTAAATTTAAACAGCAACAATAAGATCTCCCCCCAGTGGATCCCTTGAACCTTTCGGGAAAACGCAGGTTTTTACTCGACAGGAAGAAGACACAGCATCCAATCGGCACTTGTGTCTCAATGACCAATCAAATTTCGCCTTACATTGCGTCGCTGGGAAAAACGCAGCTGGACGACTTCGCCTCCCGGCCTGCGGCGGCTGCTGCTACCTGGGTGGGCCCTCAGCTCTGGGGCTGTCTTTGTTACCTGGGCACTAAGGGACGAGCAGTTCAGCCCTCGTCTGTGCTTGCTGGATTTGTTTGTGTTTGTTCCCAGCCACTGCTCATGTAATGCACTCCCTTAACCAGGAAATTAAAGCATTCTCCCGGAATAATCTCAGGAAGCAACGCACCAGGGTGACAACGCTGACTGGAAAGAAAATTATAGAAACATGGACAGAGGCCAGAATTCATGTTGTGGAAGAAGTAGAGCCGAGCAGTGGGGGTGGTTGTGGTTATGTGCAGGACCTTAGCTCGGACCTGCAGGTTGGCGTTATTAAGCCATGGTTGCTCCTAGGTGAGTATATCGACTTGCCACTGAATCACTGAGTCCTTTTAGCCAGATTACGTTCTCATTTTCCCCCTTTATGCGTAGTAGTCTGTATTATCAGCTATCCTGCGGAAAAGCTGAACTGTTTACTTGTTTTGGATATGGAACTTCCATTAGCCAGCTAGAGCCGTTTCTGCCGCACAGTGTACCCACAGGAAGCATAGATGCTATTCTAGTAGCACTTGGCACAGCCTGTTTGAATTTTAGAAAAGCTTTCTTCCAGTTTCCCTAAGTTCTCTGGAGAATAACACATTGATGTTGCGTTTCTTTGGATTATAAAAGATATAGTTAAAAAAATGACAATGTTTTTATCAGGCAGAACTACAAGTGACAAGGGTTAAAGTTACAGAAAAGTTAATACTTGAAATAATCCTGTGCTTGCTGGCCTGCGCAGCTCTTACAAGCTATGAGGAATACATGCCTCTTGTGGCCACATCTATTCATGGTGTTTGTTTCTGGAGTGTTTAGGAGAAGGGGAGCTTTTATTTTATAGCTATGAGTCTGAAGGTTTTATGATTTTTTTTTTTTGGCATTATGGAAATACCAAGTCCCTATACAAGCATAGTTCACAAATAGCAAATGAAGCAATGTTATAAAAGTACAAACTTATTAATTTGGCAAGAATATGGTATGGTGTTCTTAAAAAAATAGTCAAGAGTGTTTTCAAGTACGTCTGAATTATTTTCCTTTATGCATAGCGAAATTAAGACTTGGAAAGACTAAATGACTTGTCACTACGCAGCTAAGGCGTTCTTGAGTAGACAGAAGATTGAGAAAGAACCCAAGTACTGTTCACCTAGTGCCTCACTCCTTTTAGGAATCCTGGGAAGTAGGGATTATCAGCTTTGTTTTAGAAATAGAAACCGGAATTTAAGATTGGTGAAGTAATTTACACAATGTAACACACCTAGTAAATAACAGAGGTAGGCATCAAACCTGAGTCTGATGGACTCCTGCTGTGCATTGTTAGACTAGATTGCTTCAACAGACCAAGTTTTCAGCCCTGCTCTCCCTCTAATTTACTAGATTAGCTGGCTCAAGTCGTTTATTCTTTCTGGTTCTCCAAAAAGCCTTTTGTAAAGATGAAATAACAATATCTGCTTATGTCATTGGACCCTCCTGAGGTTGTTGTAAAAGGTTTTTGATGCAAATCAATTGCAGCATACATGAATTATATATTAAACGAATTGCTACATAGGCTATCTTTAAATTCACCAAATGAATATCTCTAATTAGTTTCTACAGCCCTGTGAAAAATTATATCATATTCTTGTCACATTTACAGTGAAAAATCAAGTTATTTAGGTAATCTGAAACGTTCACCTAGGCCTTGCTCACCATATCTAGGAAAGAAAATATGTCCCGCCACATTTTTCGGTTATTTGGTTTCCGCTGTAGTAATTATGGCTTAGAATAATTATGGTAGAAATTTAATTTATCATTAACCAATTTAGGGTCTTCATGAGCTTTGCTTATTATTATTTTTTTGTGGACTTATCCAAAGTGAGCTGATCAAGTTAGTGTTCTCAGATTGGCGTTGGAAACCTCCCCAGGATAGTGGGAGAGTCCTGGGAGGAACTTCTGAAATTAGCCTTAATAAGGTCTTCTCTGAACAACCTTCTCTCTTCTGAAAGTGCACCTTTTTATGCCTAATTACATGTGCCTTATTCCTGAAGGACCCATGGGTGGTTACATCTCAACTTCTTCTACATGAATGATGAAAGAGTTGTTTCTGACCAGACTTAGTTTATGTTTAGGAGACTGGGGTTTTCTGCAGGTTGGTTCTAAGAGCTTCCTTCACCTCCTCAACGTGACACAGCTTCCTTAGCTATCACCCATGACTGATGGCTCTGGGAAAAAAAAAAAAAAAGTGACACAGCTTCTTCCTATTATCACATGCCAAACAACTTTTGGTTTTGGTGGTGAATAAAGAAAATGAAGAGTTGTAACAATGTAATCTTCTTTAGTTTATAAACTCTAAAAAGTGATTGAATTTTAAAAATATTACATAGGCCCTCAAATCATTTAAAGGATGGATAAAAGTTTTTAGACAGCATTTTTGTCCAAGGTGTTGCAAATCACACACACACACACACACACACACACACATGTAATTCTTTATTACTTATTTATTTTGAGATAGGTTCTCAAAATAAATGCAGGCTGGAGTACAGTGGCATGATCTTGGCTTACTGCAGCCTCTGCCTTCTGGGCTCCAGTGATCCTCCCACCTCAGCCTCTGAATAGCTGGGACTACAGGTGCACACCACCATGCCTGGATAATTTTTTGTACTCTTTGTAGAGATGGTGTTTCACCATGTTGCTGAAGCCAGTCTGGAACTCCTGGGCTCAAGCAATCCGCCTGCCTTGGCCTCTCAAAGTGCTGGGATTACAGACATGAGTCGCCACACCTGGCTAAACCACCAAGTTTCAATTCTTTGAACCTATTTTTTCCCCCTCGAATTGGTAGGGCTTTCTACATTAGAAAATCGAATTTTAAAAAAATTATAAAGTATTTCAAATTTATAGAAAATAATAGGCAAATTTCAAAATTACAGAAAATAATTACAGAAAATAATAGGCAAAATTACAGAAAATAATAGGCAATTATGTATATGTCACCCAGCTTTAACAAATGTTAATATTTTGATAGGCTTTTAAGTAGAATAAAACTGAATGTGCGCTCAGTGAGGAACCTGTAAACTTGGTATTATCAAGAAGATATTGGCCAAACAGCATACTTGTTGGCCTTACAGCTACCTAAAATCACATAAAGTTGGCTGAATTCCCAGATAGGTAAGTTAAAAAAAACTTTATGAAATAGAACCTAATTCAGGAAAGTAAAACGCTTGAAATCTTGAAGTTGTGGAACTCACTTTATTTTAACTAGTTGTTCTCCATATGAACTTGCTTATTAGCTGGAACCAGTTTCCAAGTGTGGGAGATCTGGGAAGCCGTCTGTGACAGAAAGAGATTGTAGAAGGGCACAGCCCTAGTGGTAAATGGAGTGTGGGTGGGATCCTGCAGACCAACAGCATTTGCTCTAAGCTACTGGGTGTTCCCAAACCAGCTGTCATGAAGTCATCTTGTGGGTGTGTGGTTTTTGTAATATCCTTTTTTAAGTTACAAAAGAAAGAGATGTTTATTGTAAAAAGTCAGAATGAGCATAAAGAAGGAAAAAAAATCACTGAAACCCCACTATTAACATTTTGTTCTATATATACTTTCTGTCCATTTTTTAAGGATATACATATTTTATGTTCTTATAAAAATGGATGATGGTATTTTGTAATCTGCTTTTATCAACAGATATATTGAGAACATCCTTTTTCCTTCATTTCTTTTCTTTAATTTTCTTTCTGAGATGGAGTCTCTCTCTGGTACCTGGTCTGGAGTGCAGTGGCACGATCTCAGGTCACTGCAACCTTCACCTCCCAGGTTCAAGCAATTCTCGTGCCTCAGCCTCCCATGTAGCTAGGTTTACAGGCGTGCAGTACCACGCCCGGCTAATTTTTTTATTTCTCTTTCTATTTCCCCTCCCCTCCCCTCCCCCTCCCCTCCCCTCCCCTCTCCTTCCTTCCATCTTGCTGTGTCACCCAGGCTGGAATACACTGGCATAACCATAGCTCATTGTAACCCTGAATTCCTAGCCTCAAGGGATCCTTCTGCCTTATCCTTCTGAGTACCTGGGACTACAGGCATGCACTACCATGCCTGGCTAATTAAAAAAAAATTTTTTTTTTTTCTTTGAGACAGAGTTTTGCTTTTGTTGCACAGGCTGTAATGCAATGGCATGATCTCAGCTCACTGCAACCTCTGCCTCCCAGGTTCTACTGATTAAGTGATTCTCCTGCCTCAGCCTCTGGAGTAGCTGGGATTACAGGCATGCGCCACTATGCCTGGCTAATTTTTGTATTTTTAGTAGAGATGGGGTTTCTCCATGTTGGTCAGGCTGGTCTCGAACTCCCAACCTCAGGTGATCTGCCCACCTCGGCCTCCCAGAGTGCTGGGATTATAGGCATGAGCCAGTGCGCCTGGACACTAAAATATATATAAAATTATTTTTCTATAGATAGGGTCTCACAATGTTGTTCAGGCTTAGATTTCTTATTTTTAATGGTGGTAACGACTGTATTTCACTACACAATTGTACCTTTTTTTTTTTTTTAAATTTAATGCAACAGGTATTATTGGGCTTTTAGTGTTCTTTTGTTTTTGTTTTGTTTGTATTACAAACAGTACTATGGTGAACATCCTTACAGCCAATGTTTACAACATCTATAACTTTTAGGACAAATTTTTAGAAGAAGAATTTTAGAGTCCAAGAGTTTATGTGGAATGACTGTTTTCAAATTGTGCTTCAGAAAGTTGGACTAAGATGCCTTCCAAGTTGTTGGTCATTTTTTTTTTAAAAATAACAGAATTGCTGTAGAAATTTATATAAAAGGTCAAGACGATTATATTTATGTTCAAGGTGGTATCATTTATTTCTTCTAGGGTCACAAGATGCTGCTCATGATTTGGATACACTGAAAAAACACAAGGTAAAAAAGATGTTCCCAGCACTTTGGGAGGCTGAGGCAGGCGGATCACAAGGTCAAGAGATCGAGCCCATCCTGGCCAACATGGTGAAACCCTGTATCTACAAAAAATACAAAAATTAGCTGGGCGTGGTGGCGTGGTGGCGTGGGCCTGTAGTCCCAGCTACTCGGGAGGCTGAGGCAGGAGAATTGCTTGAATCCGGGAGGCAGAGGTTGCAGTGAGCCAAGATCGTGCTATTGCACTCCAGCCTGGTGACAGAGCAAGACTCTGTCTCAAAACAAAAAAAAAAAGCTTTAAATCTGGCGTCATATACACAGAATATTTAGTTGTTTTCTTCAGGAAAAACTGTGTTGGTCCATCTTTGATATATTACAGAGTTTATTTGATAACATTTTGGCTATCATTTTAATGTAGTTGAAAAAATAATTGGCATATAATTCAAATATGTGGATCTGTAATCCATCTTTCCAGTTTTACATTCTTCTCGATCTCCTTCATGTACCCTCGTGAACCTGACCTTGGAGGCATGTCTTTCTTGCCTGTGCTTATGTAGTTCCTCTGTGTGAGATAAACTTTCCTTCATCTCTACTTGTCAAAGACCTTCCCATGCCTTGAGTCCCAATTCACATACTATGTCTTCTCTAATGCCATTTCTAGCCACTCTACTCCATACAACTGATATGATTTATTACATATTTACTCAAAAGAATTTTTAATCATCTACCATTTTGTTGAGCACTGTTTCAGTTCATAGAATTACTGCAGTTACAGGAGTGCATGAGATTCTTGTTCACTTGAAGACTATGACCTAAGGAGCAGATAGCGAAGAGAGACAGATAAGCAGCCACAGAACAGCGTGTCGTCTGGTTTGATGGGGAAGTGCAGGGTGCTGTAGAAGTGCATAGGAGATGATGCCCTTAGCCTGTGTTTGGCTTGTTTTGTTTTGGGGGGGTTACGTGAGTTAGGGGTGACTTCCTGGAGAAAGTGATGTTGAAATTTTTCCCTGAAGAGGTGGGGAAAGGAGTCAACAGCCTGTAATCTCAGTGGTTTGGGAAGCCAAGGCAGGAGAACTGGTTGACGCCTGGAGTTCAAGGTTATAATGTGCTATGATTTTGCTACTGTACTTCAGACTGGGTGACAAAACAAGACTGTCTCAAAAAAAGGAAAGAAAAGTGTTCATACAGAATAAATGGTATGTGTGAAGGCCCAGAAGCAAGAGAAAGGCTAATGCTTTCAGGGACAGAAAAGTTCAGTGACCCTGGAATAGAGAGTGTGAGAAAGAAGGGCACCAAGAGACAAGGCCAGAAAGGTAAGCTTGAGCCGGATCACAAAAGGCCAGGTAAGCCAGAGTAAGTTGTTTGGATTTTATCCAAAAGACTGTGGAAAGCTGCTGAGAAGTGACCTAGAGATGTAGCAGGATCAAATATGCAGTTTAGAAAGATTTTTAATTAGAAGCAGTATAGAAAATCGACTGGAGGGTTGCTCAAGTTAGAGATGGGGAAAACAGGTATTAAGCTAATGCAGTAATCTAAGGAAAAGATGTTAGTGGCTGAGATTCAGATGTAGTGAAGATAGAATTAGGTAGACGTGAGGGATTTTTTTAGAGGGTAGAATTCTTACAATTTTGTGATTGATTACTTATGGGGCAGGATAGAAACTGGGGCTAAGGGAGAAGGAGGAGTCAAGGCTGATGTCTAGCTTTCTTTGATAACTAAGTAAAGTTATTATTCCATGAGCTTGAGAACAACATAGAAAGAACAGGCTTTAAAGGAAAAACAATGTGCTCAGGCTTGAATATTTTAGATTTTGGGTGATGTAGATCATCTAGGTGGGTGGATATGTAGGGTGTGAAGTTCAGATTATAGGTGAATATATAGATTTAGGAATCTTTCACTTCTAAGTAGTTACTGAGATCGTTGGAATAGATGAAGTTGCCTGGGGAAAAGTGTAAAGTAAGAGAGAAAAGGGTCTTTGACAGAATCTTATCACAGAACTGAAAAATTGAGGAGTATCACCCTATATGGAATGATCAAAGGAAGAAGAGTCTGCAGTGGAAAAGGAAGATCTAAAAGAGGCCAAAAGAAGATAAAACAAAAAGATGGTGTCATGGAAGCTAAAGAGGGAATAGTGTTTTAAGGAGGATAGAGTCAGCAATATCAGATGCTGCAGAAGTTTAAGTACAATTAGGACTAAATTATGTCCATTGGACTTGGTGACAGAAAGGTGGTTAAAAAAGTGCATTTGTGGAAAGTTTCATTTGAATTGGAGGCCAAAGCCATATTGCAAAAGATTGAGAAGTGAAGAAGTGATAGCACGGGGTGTAGGGAGGGAAGAGAGAGGAGCCATAGGTGAGGAGGGGGATGGGAGAACTTTGAGCATGCTTGCTGATGGTAGAGGAAGGAATTGAAGATACAGAAAAGCAAGAATTATGGCTATAGGGAGATGCCAAGAAAGTAGGAAGCACTGTGACTCCAAGCACAGAATCAGGAATGAGCCGTATCGAAGATGCATGAGCACATCCTTCAGTGTTAATCAGAAGGCAGAGGGGAAGTACAGATGTGGACAAAGTTGTTAGTTTTTTTTTTCTTGTTTGTTTGTTTGTTTTGAGACAGAGTCTTGCTCTGTTGCTCAGGCTGGAGTGCAGTGGCTTGATCTCAGCTCACTGCAATCTTTGCCTCCCAAGTTCAAGTGATTCTCAACCTTTGGATTCTCTTAATGGACTTTCTATGTGGCTTCCACATGCTTGGTGGACTTTAGGAAAAGGGGCTCAAATACATAGATAGAAGAGGAGGAGGTTCCTCAAGTGTACCACCTGAAAGAAAATATTTTATAACCACCCCTCCCCTTACTTTTCAGCCAAATTAGTTCATCAGAATCTCTGGGTATGAGACCCTGTAGTATTCATAGTTTTTAAAAGTTCATCAGGTCTCTACTAAAAATAAAACAATTCACTGGGTGTGGTGGCTCATGCCTGTAATCCGAGCTACTCTGGAGGTTGAGGCAGGAGAATCACTTGAACCAGGGAGTTGGAGGCTGCAGTGAACTGAGATTGCGCCACTGCACTCCAGCCTGGCGACAAAGCAAGACTCATCTCAAAAAAAAAAAAAAAAAAAAGTTCATCAGGTGACTCTAATGTGCAGTCATCCTGGAGAACCATTTTATTAAGTATAGAATATGAAGGAAAAATAGGGAAATGATTCTTGAAAGGAAAGTTGTGTACCACTGATCTACTTCTCCTATTGAAGTTTTTATATGGATATTCACAGACTAATTCAACAAGATTTTAAGCATTTTCTGCTAAACTCACTACTCATTTGCTTATAACACTAAGTTAAACATATTCCCTACCCCCATGGAGTTTCTAGTGCAATGAAAGAGACAGTCTCTAAGTGGTATGAGCTATAATAGGGCAAGTCCAGGGCTGTGAGAATATATAGGCCAGGTATGATGGCTCACACCTATAATCCTAGCACTGTGGGAGGTGGAAGTGGGAGCATCACTTGAGGCCAGGAGTTCAATACCAGTCTGGGCCAAAAAAGTGAGACCCCCCTTCCCCCGGCAAAAAAAAAAAGTTAGCTGTGTGTGGTGGTACCTGCCTGTAATCCCAGCTACTTGGGAGGCTGAGGCAGAAGGATCACCTGAGCCTAGGAGTTCAAGATTGCAGTGACCTATGATCGCATCATCGTACTCCAGCCTGGGTGACAGAAAGAGACACTGTCTCTACATGATGATAATAATAATAGGAGCGAGCGAGAGAGAGAGAGAGAGAGAGAGAGAGAGAGAGAGAGAGAGAACGAACATATAGTAGAAGGAGCACTTCTGATGTGGGATGAAGCAGTATTATCATTTAAGTGAGTTATATTTAAATTTTTTACCATTCTTGTTACAGATATCAACACCCTTGTCACCCTTGTCTCTTTTTAGATAACTTAATTCATGGGATTTTAAAAAATCATCTTTTTTCTTTCTCTTTAAGGTGACTCATATTCTTAATGTTGCATGTGGAGTTGAAAATGCTTTCCTCAATGACTTTACATATAAGAGCATTTCTATACTGGATCTGCCTGAAACCAACATCCTGTCTTATTTTCCAGAATGTTTTGAATTTATTGAAGAAGCAAACAGGAAGGTGAGTTTTGTTTTGATCCATAGTTCTTCAGAAGCAGAAATTTGAAAGTATGGATTCATTACCCAATCTTTATTATTTTTGTAATGAATCTCTAAAAAACTATTAAGAAATTTCCCTTCTAACAATATTTTATTATTTTCTACAGTTATTTGGTTAATTGCTCTTTTTTTAGTGATATATTTACTTTAACATTAATTCAGTTTCTCATTTTCCTGTGTGTTACTGAGAATTGTTAAGACATAAAATCCTCTACTTACTGAGTTTTTCTCTGTAGACATGTAGTTAGATTTCCTTTGAGAGGTTATAACCACCTGACCTCTCACCAATTTGCAAGATAATCAGAGGGACTATAAAACAGAGACTGCTCTAGACTTATGAGTGTTATGAAATGATGAATGAGATAGTTATTATGAAACTGCATTTTTAGCAATAAAATTTTAAGGCACTCTAAGGACTAAATGTGTATTGCTTTACTTAAATTGTATGACAATGCTGATCAGAAGCTGTCTGTTGGTTTTCTGAAGTTAGAAGATCAATAGCCAATATCATATAGTACTTCAATCTTGTTATTGGATTCAAGTCACCATTCTGACAGGCAAGGTTTCTTGGTTGGCCGTTATTATTATTCCTTGAAATGGCATCATTTTTTAGTCAGCAAATAATTCGTACAGACTTTATGTAAGATATGTAGATGGGAAAGTAGGAGCATTTACAGAGAGAAATAACTCTTCTGGAACACCTAACAGTGACAGGATTAGAATCGGGTATAATTGAACTCTGGCCTACCTTCTCTCCCTTCTACTTTTTCTCCTTCTCAGTTTCTCTCCCTCTCTCCCTTCTTTCCTTTAATTTACTAGTATTTATTGAATGCCTTAGGTGCCCAGCACTGTTCTACGTGCCTTCCTAGTAGACTACCTGGAAAATATATAACTATTCAATTCTAGTGTCCATCAACTTTATTTAATAGCAGATACAGTCATGCACTACATAGTGATGCTTGGTCAAAGATGGACTATATATATGATGGTGATCCCATAAGATTATAATAATGTATTTTTATCATACCTTTTCTATGTTTAGATACACAAATACATACCATTGTGTTACAGTTGCCTACAAGTCAGTACTGTAACATGCTGTACAAGTTTGTAGCCTTGGAGCAATAGGCCATACCATTCTAGGTTTGTGTGAGTACACTCTGTGATGTTTACAAAGGAAGGGGTTTTTTTTTTTTTTTTTTTTTTGGAGACAGAGTCTCTCGCTCTGTCACCCAGGTTACCCAGGCTGTAGTGCAGTGGCGTGATCTCAGCTCACTGCAACTTAGGCCTCCTGGGTTCCAGCAATTCTCCTTCCTCTGCCTCCTGAGTAGCTGGGACTCTATAGGCATATGCCACCATGCCTGGCTTAGTTTTTGTATTTTAGTAGAGATGGGATTTCACCATGTTGCTCAGGCTGGTCTTGAACTCCTGAGCTCAGGCAATGAACCCGCCTTGGCCTCCCAAAGTGTTAGGATATAGGCATGAGCCACTGTGCCTGGCCAAGGAAGAGGTTTTCTAATTCCAAGCCTAATATTAGCCATTCTGTTTTCTTGTGAAAAAATTTACAGGCTCTGGATTGTTACATTCCAGTGTGTGAGTTAGTAGTTTTAAAAATAAAAATGCTGTTTCTGTATTAGCTCCTTCTCTAAGGAAATGTAGAATATGCCAGAGATGGCAAAGTATAGATATCATCCATATTCATATTAACATTAGATGAGATGTAAATGTTGCAAGTAAAAATTAGAGTGGGTAATAGTATCTAGCAAGAAAAGCAAGAGATTGAATATTCTAATAAGCTTGGAATTTTAAATAAATTAAAAAAGTAAAGTTTGCCTTAATTTGGGCCAGTAGTTAATTAGAGTGGATTTCAACTTGGGTTTCCTAAAAACAAAGCCTGAGATGAGGATTCAGAGCTGATGCTTAATTTGAGATGTACAATCTCTAGACAGTGAGAGTGGCAAGAAAGGAAAGTGATTCAAGGTGGGATGAGAAGCAATACCAAGTGATGTGTTTACCCTGCTGGGCTCATTTCACAGTGAGCCGACTGGGAAATAGTTGAGTACTCTGCAGGGACAGCTACTCTACCCCCAAAATATCTCTGGACAGGCAGTGTAAAGAAACTGCACCTCAACACAGCTTGGGGGGGACACGGAGAGATATTTATCTACATGGCTTTCTGTCAGCTCTTGTTTCCCGTTGGTCAAAGTTTACCAGTGGGGATGTAACCAACCCCACAGTTCTGGTTATAACATTTCACTCATTCAGCAACCACCTCGAAGCCCAATCTAATGCCCTGTAATACAGCTTTTCAACCAAGTAAGAAATAGAAAATCCAGAACTCAGAGTATGCCTGTCCAGAGTACGCCTGTCTATGCTGTGAACATCATGGAGGAAGAGTCCCTTCTTTGACAGACAAAAGTGAATGGACCCAAGGGGAGAGCAGTCAGCCATGGAGGTGGGGGCTTAGGTGGAGCATGCTGAGAGGGTCTGTGAGATGGTGGCACCATAAGAATCTGAGGAGTTGCAGAAGATGTTTCTGATAAGATGAATTAGATTTCAGCAATATGTTCTACCCTCTCAAGCCTTATGTTTCATACTGGGATCCTAACCTCAGCCAGTATTTCCCTTCCCTGAAAACTCAGTGCAGTGATGCAATCTCAGGTCATGTTAACTCCACCTCCTGGGCTCAAGTGATTCTCCTGCTTCAACCTCCCTGGTAGCTAGGATTACAGGTGCACACCACCATGCCTGGCTAATTTTTGTATTTTTAGTAGAGATGGGTTTTTGCCATGTTGGCCAGGTTGGTCTCAAATTGCTGACCTCAAGTGATCCACCTGCCTCAGCCATCCAAAGCACTGGGATTATAGGCTTAAGCCACCATGCCTGGCAGACAAATATATATTTAGCTTTAGCAATAGAATTCTTGAATTTTTTATATTTTTTTAAGAAAAGATCTCTTCATGGCTTTGTCTATTTTATATTCGAGTATTACTAAATCTAATTACTCAGTGAACTACATGTTTCAAAGCTACTTTTCTACGCCCTCGTTTGTTGTGTTCACATACAGTTGCCAAGTGGAATGGTTTCCATTTCCCAAGTCTTTCCTCGTTTCTCTCTGAACTTGTAAAACTCTGGTTTCTCTTCCTTCCTTTATACCTAAAGGGACAGAAATATACCTGAGAGGAACAGTGATGGTAGTTTCTATAGCCCAAAGAGTCCTTTTAGGAACTAAATTTATTGGTCCCCTCTTTTTATGGTACAAAGTATGACAATGTATATTTGATATTTCATGTTTATTATTTATAAGATGTGATTTATGCAAGTAGTCCATGTTCTTTGTAGAAAAAAATGGAAAATACAGATAAAAATTAAGATCACCATACTTCCACACTTAGATATAAGCCTGCTTTTTTTTTTTTTTTTTGGCAACTTCATGACTTTTATTTGTGGTGCCTGTGCTTTATCTTGAAAATACCTTCTCTGCCCCAGACAGTGGCCAGGAACAGGGCAGCAAAAAATAGAAAAAGTCCTTCCCTATTGCACATGGACCCTATATACAGGCCCACCTGCCTAAGGCCAGCGGGACTCTTGGCACATTCTTGGATCCCTGTTCAGGAGGGGAGGGGTGAAGGGTGACATCACACGTGAAATGGGGACCTCCAGGTCTTGAGTACTGATCTTTGCTCTTCTTGGTCCTCAGTTCCTTCCTGGTCTCGTCTCCAGCCCTGGTCCCCTCTATGTAGCCTGCTTTTTGTATTTAATGATATTAAATCATTTTAAATTTTTGCATAGTATTCTGGTAGTTGGTGATTCCATAACTTATCCTATTTCCTACTATGAAACATGTAAGCTGTTCATAGTTTTTTGTTCAATATAAGTAAAAGTTCATTAGAGAAACAATATGAGTCTAAATAAGTACCTAAATTCACTTAAGTTTTTAGATGCGTCTGTTACCAGTAGAGGGTCATGACTGCAAGTTGTCCAGGTTCTTGGTGTTTTGAACATAGTTGGACAAAATGCCCAGCAAAGCAAAGAAAGAATGAAGCAACAAAAAAGAGTGAAAGCAGGGATTTATTGAAAGCGAAATCACACTCCACAGTATATTTGGCCCACAGGAGTGGGCCAAAGCAGCAGGCTGAGGGACAGCATACAAAATCTTCTTCCGTCCAAATACCCACTAGAAGTTTCCCATTGGCCACTTCATGCTCACCTCATGTAAACGAAGTGGTAGTCTGCAATCAGTCTGATTGGTTGCAAAAAGCAGCCAACCAGAGGCTGAAGGGAAGTTACAAAGGTCATGCTTCTGGCATCCGATTGGATGCCAGAAGCAACCAATGACAGGCTAGGGTGAAATTACAAAGTTATACTTCTGTGCAAACAAAGAATTGGCCTGCAATCAGTCTGATTGGTTGTGGACAGCAAAGTTCCCATCTGACATGCAGAAAAGGTAAGGGGTTTGCAAAGACAGTAGCCGCTCTTCCTTTTGTTATTTAGGCATGGAAAGTTACGGTTTTCCTTTCCATTTAGTTCTAGGAAGTCGTTGTGAATCAGCCTTAGGTTCCCTGCCTCCAGACGTTATTCTCCTGCCTTACTTCTTCCAGTTTGTTTCAAAGCAGTCTACCCATCACTTTTTTGTATTTCTCATGTTTACTTTGCCCTCTACTACTGTGGAGAGTCATGAGTGGACTAATCTGACCTGTGCTCCTCAAAGCGTGTCCAGTTTGCTACCAGACCTCTGCAAGATTAGAAGGTTGTGTCTGAATATAAACCAAGACATTGCTTAGTTCATTTAGAGATTTTGGCTACTCCCTCACCCCACCCAAAAGCTGAATTAAGCAGTATATTTTTAGTGACGATTTTCATTCCACTGCAGAATTCTTATTTCATCATAGGTGGTTGTCAAATACTTGCAGACTACCACATTATGCTCAAGGTTTTTTTTTTTTTTTTTTAAAGTTCTGGGGTACAGCTACATGATGTGCAAGTTTGTTACATTGGTAAGCGTGTACCATGGTGATTTGCTGCACCTATCAACCCATCACCTAAGTATTAAGCCCAGTATGCATTAGCTATTTTTCCTGATGCTCTCCCTCCTCCTACCCTGCCCCACCCCAACAGGCCCCCATTTTGTGTTGTTCCCTTCCATGTGTCTATGTGTTTACACTGTTCAGCTTTCACCTATCAGTAAGACATGTGGTGTTTGGTTTTCTGTTCCTGTGTCAGTTTCCTAAGGATAATGCTTCCATCTCCATCTATGTCCCTGCAAAGGACATGATCTCAGTCCTTTTTATGGCTGCATAGTATTCCATGGGTTATATGTACCATATTTGCATTATACAGACTATCATTGATGGGCATTTGAGTAGATTCCATGTCTTTGCTATTGTGAATAGTGCTTATGCTATCATTGATGGGCATTTGAGTTGATTCCATGTCTTTGCTATTGTGAATAGTGCTTATGCTCAGGTATTGTGAATAGTGCTTATGCTCAGGTTTTTTTTTTTTTTTTTTTTTTTTTTTTGGAGACAGAGTCTCACTCTGTTGCCTAGGCTGGAGTGCAGTGGCATGATCTCAGCTCACTGCAACCTCTGCCTCCTGAGTTCAAGTGATTCTCCTGCCTCAACTTCCCAAGTAGCTGAGATTACAGGGACTTACCACCACGGCTGGCTAATTTTTGTATTTTTGGTAGAGACGGGGTTTCACCATGTTGGCCAGGCTGGTCTTGAACTCCTGATGTTGCAATCTGCCCACCTCAGCCTCCCAAAGTGCTGGGATTGCAGGTGTGAAACATCACACCTGGCCATGCCAAAGTTTTAATGGAAGTCTAATATAAGGGAAAACACCTGGGCTTGGCTTAGTTACTATTCACAAATATTAATTACTTACTTTGAGAATATGTGAGGGATACACATTGCTGTCCTCAAGGAGCTCTCAGTCTAGTTGTAAACTATACATAACAGCACAAGAACAAAGAGAACTCTATGAAATGGAAATATCATAGCAGAATTACTATCTGCCTGTAGCATAATTACTACTAGCCCATAGCAAAATGGTGATTTGAATTTTTGAAAGAACACCTTTCTCTCAGAAATGCAGAACAAATTTATTGACTTAGCAAACAGTTATGGAATACCTAATATATGCCAAGAATTGCACTAAATACTAGGCATACAAAGATGGCCAAGACATTCCTCCTGCCCTTATTTTACTTGGAAAGAGGCAGTCTTAGAACAGAAGTCAGAATTAGCTGTACCAAGAAGAGCAAAGGTCTTCTAGACATAGGATAACAGCAAGTGCAAAGGGTAAGAAAATGCTTTGTAAATTGTTTGTTACTGTTTTGAGCTCTGGAAAAGGGATATAAAGTCAATAATTTCTCTGGAAATACTTTTAAGGACAATATGATACCAAAGGAATAATCAAAAGGTTGAAAGTAGGTAAATTCAAAAGCTGTAGAAAAACAGCAGTTATATAAAGCAGAAAGAAGAAAATAATATTACCATTTTGAAACATTAGCTAAAATTGGATGCACAATGTGCAAAACTGAAAATAAAGCTATTTTCATGTTCAAAAGCCTATGTATGGATCATAAAGCCAACTAGTAGCAGGAAATATAGTATAAGCAGGAAATATTAAAAGTGACATTGGAGTGGACAGCAGGACTCCAAGATGGTGTCAGTCATCCCAGTGAAGGACAAGAAACTTCTGGAGGTCAAACTAGGGGAGCTGCCAAGCTGGATCTTGATGTGGGACTTCAGCCCTAGTGGCATTGCCAGAACATTTCAAAGAGGTTACTACTGGTACTATAACAAGTACATCAACATGAGGAAGGGGAGCATCTCGAGGATTACCATGGTGCTGGGATGCTACATGCTCTTCAGCTACTGCCTTTCCTACAAGGAGCTCAAGCATGAGTGGCTACATAAGTACCACTGAAGAAGAGGACATGCTCCGCACTCCCCGCTATGACCTTCTTGGCTCAAGCCCTTCCATAAGGAACACAATCTCAATCATTGTTGAATCCTTTCCTATCCTAATGGCAATTAACCTCCAAATAAAGGATGACTGGAAAAAAAAGTGAAATTGAAGCTTATTAAGTTTATGATTGCAAGTTTCTTTGGCATATCTAGTTAATTTTACCCTAAATGAAATTCATTAATAATTCTCATCAATTACTTTAGTATAATTTTTAAACATCTTAAGTTTTATAAAAAATGGGTGATCGCTACAAAATGAGAAAAGTTCCCAAGGTGTATAGTGAATCTTTATCTTTTGCTTTTCTTAGATAGAAACTGTTAGAGTTTGGAAATGAGTCATAAATATCTATAGAAAACAGTTTATCCCATGGTAATGTAAGATGTGAAAAAAAGAAAATTGATATTGTCCTTTTTTATATGAGGATTTTCAAAATGTTAACTATTTTGTTATTGATCATATGGCTTTCTTGAAAAGAGACATACTTGCAAATTTGTTACAGCAGATCAAGAAAAGGAATTTTGCAACAGATATATGAATCAGAAAACTGCCTTGCAAAAGTAAAACAAAACAGTCATAACAATAGTATTGTTGATATGTGCTTTAGTATCATGTTCCCCACTGCCCCTCCTCTTTTTTTGTGTGTTGTACCAAATAAAGAATCAGGAAACCAAGTAACTAAAATGTCTAATTCTGGAGGGTGTGCTCACAGTTCACCACATTTCATTTAGATCGTTAACTTTTTAGAAGCTTCAGATGGGCCAAGCTATATCGATGCTGTTCCATCAGAACTATCACATTCATTATTAATACAATATTGCCCTCATAAGCACTGGTCTTGCACTGTCTCTCTTTTCAGTAGGAAAGTATCATTTTCAAGTTACCTGAAACGTTTTTCATTTGTTGACCTCATCCTGGTGTCTGATTGCTTTTGCCACTTTACATTGTTATGAGCTCTTTGTGTCACATTTTACTACCTCGTAAGTTTAAATATTTTTAAGTAACTTCCTGCCAGCATAAAATATATTCAAGGGTAGAAACTGTTTTCCTTGCTGATTATTTAAGCAGAGTTGCAAGCCACAGACACTAGTTTCTTTATGAGAACACTATGTATGCTCTGGAACATTGCTAGCTTTCTGTTTAGTTTATAGTTAGGATTTTATTTTGTGTTTCCACATATATTCCCTGTGGTTTTTTTTTTTTTCTTGTTTATATACATTTGTCTACTAAGTTGTTAGGTTTTTATGTGTGCTTTACTGGTACATTTGACCACTAAGTTGTTAGGTTTTTATGTGCTCTTTACTGGATTACTTCAGTTTAGTGCAAGATACTGTTTCAGAATTCCAAACATCATTAAAGCATTTCAATCATGGGATAGTAGCTAAGGGAAGTATAGGTTGATTGATTGATTGAGTTTCCATTCATTGCTGGTAATGAATTTTATTTCAATCATCAAATAAATTGAATCAAATAAATAGATAAAATTGAATATTTACTTTATAATTTCAAGTAGCATAAGAAAGTGCAATTGATTTAATAACCTTTCTCAAATGAATAATGAAGATTTTTGTTTGATTTTATTGTAGGATGGAGTGGTTCTTGTTCATTGTAATGCAGGAGTTTCCAGGGCTGCTGCAATTGTAATAGGCTTCCTAATGAATTCTGAGCAAACCTCATTCACCAGTGCTTTTTCTGTGGTGAAAAATGCAAGACCTTCTATATGTCCAAATTCTGGCTTTATGGAGCAGCTTCGTACATATCAAGAGGGCAAAGAAAGCAATAAGTGTGACAGAATACAGGAGAACAGTTCATGAGTTGCATTGTAGCAGACGATGGACAACTGTAGTTTCTGAATTTGCTTCTAAAGCCATCTTTTCCCTTTTTTGGAAAGTAGACTAGCAAAACTCCTTTTTTCCCTCTTGTCTTTTTAAAGCATAAATGGAGGTCAATTTGATTGTCCTGAACTGTATAAATAAATTTCAAATGTCATTACTTTCTCTGTTATTATAATGTGTGATTAAATGCTTTTGTAAATTGCTAAGAGAAAATAACAGTGTATTCCTAATCATTGCTTTCTGTAGAAGAAAAAGGTTTAAATTTAAAATATGTATTTAGAGCATGGAGAGAATCAGTTAATGAAGTCTATTTTTCTGCAACAGGTTTTATTAAGGAAAAACTTAAAGTGCTACTTAACTTACTATTTCAAAGGGAGGTAAAATTTTTTTTTAAGAATCTTTTTAAGATTAAAACTGAATACCTTAAATCTCCCAAAAGAGGTAATGAGTATCTGAAGGTTTATACACTATGTAAATAGTGGCTACCGTATTAACAAAATTCTTATGTTCTCTTATGAAAAATATACACTTTTCATTTTGTTTTCTTTTTTTTGAGACAGAGTTTGGCTCTTGTCACCCAGGCTGGAGTGCAATTGGCATGATCTTGGCTCACTGCAACATCTGCCTCCTGGGTTCAAGCAATTCTCCTGCCTCAGCCTCCCAAGTAGCTGGAATTACAGGTGCCCACCACCATGCCTGGCTAATTTTTATATTTTTAGTAGAGACAAGAGTTTCCAAGCCGGGCGCGGGTGGCTCAAGCCTGTAATCCCAGCACTTTGGGTGGCTGAGGCGGGTGGATCGCGAGGTCGGGAGATCGAGACCATCCTGGTCAACACGGTGAAACCCCGTCTCTACTAAAAATACAAAACATTAGCTGGGCATGGTGGAGCGTGCCTGTAATCCCAGCTACTCAGGAGGCTGAGGCAGGAGAATTGCCTGAACCCAGGAGGCGGAGGTTGCGGTGAGCCGAGATGGCGCCATTGCACTCCAGCCTGGGTAGCAAGAGCGAAACTCTCAAAAAAAAAAAAAAAAAAAAAAAGAGTTTCCATGTAAGCCAGTTTGGTCTCAAACTCCTGACCTCCGGTGATCCACCCACCTTGGCCTCCCTGAGTGCTGGGATTACAGGCATGAGCCACTGTGCCCGATCTCATTTTGTTTTTTTCAATTCTATTTGAGTTTCTTTCTTTCTTCTTCTTTTTTTAATGTATAGATGTTCTCTCATACATTATTGTGAGCTTTTGGTACTTTGAATAGGTGATTTATTCTCTTACATTTTGTGCTTTTTATCTTTGGTGACTAGCATTCTGTTTTTGGATCCTATGTCATGATTTTTTGAGAAAATGTTTGATACTGCAAGATCATTTTAAAGATATGATTTGTTCAGTGGCCTGTTTTCTACTTCAGTATTCTACTGGAGAACATTTTTTTTTTTTTTTTTAAAGATGGAGTCTCGCTCTGTAGCCCAGGCTGGAGTGTAGTGGCATGATCTTGGCTCACTGCAACCTCCACCTCCCGGGTCAGGTTCAAGCAATTCTCCTACCTCAGCCTCCCAAGTAGCTGGGATTACATACATGAGCCACCATGCCCAGCTAATTTTTGAATTTTTTAGTAGAGATGGGGTTTCACCATTGGCGAGTCTGGTCTTGAACTCCTGACCTTGTGATCTGCCCGCCTTGGCCTCTCAAAGTGCTAGGATTACAGGCATGAGCCACCGCACCCAGCCTGGAGAACATATTTTTAAAGGGTGAAGAGTTATGATTTTGTAAGAAACTTACATACTTTTAGGAGACCTACAGTCATTTACAGTTTTATCTTTGGCCTTTGAATAGGTTCTTTTTTCTTTAATGTCTCCATATTAGCAAGACTGAGCTCTGCACATTATAAATTTGCTTAAAGATTTTAATTTTTTCTTCAGAATAAGGTGTACTTAAAATTAACTAGGACAGTTTTTTTGTTTTGTTTTTCAAGACAGGGTCTTGCTCTATCACCCAGGCTGGAGTGGAGTGGCATGAACATAATGCATTGCAGCCTCTACCTCCTGGGCTCAAGCAATCCTCCTGCCTTAGTCTCCTGAGTAGCTGAGACTACAGCTGTGCACCACCACATCAGGCTAATTGTATTTTTATTTTTGTAGAGACAGGAGTCTTGTCATGTTGGCCAGGCTGATCTCAAACTTTTAGACTCAAGTGATCCTCCCGCCTGAGCCTCTCCAAGTGCTAGGATTATAGGTGTGAGCCACCACACCTGGCCTGATAGTTTCCAGATAGTTTTTCGTGACCTAGAAGATATCATTGCCATGTAGATTTTATTTTTAAAAGTCCTGAGCTCTTCTTAAATATACATTATAGAGAGCAAGCATAGATGGAAAGTGCATATTGAGCACATCTCTGCATTTGAGAAGGCAGACTTTCGTATGCTGTCATGAACAAAAAGTAGAAGTGATAAATGCAAGTTATGTTTTGATACTGCTTATACCCTGACAAGATGCCATCACTTGCATTGCTATGAACTCTTTGCTTCTGCTAAGAAGCAGTCTAAATATAATCAACCTACAGTGAGCTCTTTGAAGTCAACTAAGGCAGGCAGAAGGCTCTTAAATATGAGACCAACGTATAAGGTTGTCTCTATAGTCAGTATCACTGTGGGTTTTCTGGATGAGCCTTCTCCATTCACAAGAAAACATTTATTTAAATACGGTTGATTTTGCTGAGTCCTGTTTAGTTTTCAGCCATTAAATGTCACAGGAAGCCTTGATAGAATTTGTTCATAATGGATCGTGATATTGTTATTATTATTATTACTATTAGAGGCAGAGTTTTGCTCTTGTTGCCCAGACTGGAGTGCAGTGGTGCAGTCTCGGCTCACTGCAACCTTTGCCTCCCAGATTCAAGTGATTCTCCTGCCACAGCTTCCCAAGTAGCTGGGATTACAGGCATGTGCCATCACACCCAACTAATTTTGTGTTTTTTTAGTAGAGACAGGGTTTCACCATGTTGGTCAGGCTGGTCTCAAACTCCTAACTTCAGGTGATCCACCTGCCTTGGCCTTCCAAAGTGCTGGCATTACAGCAAAGCCACCATGCCCAGCCTGGATTGTATATTATTTATGTCTGTAGTTTGTATGCTTAGTTGTCGCCTGCAGTGATCTGGTTAAGATTCAAACATTTGGCTGGGCATGGTGGCTCACACCTGTAATCCCAGCACTTTGGGAGCTGAGGTGGGAAAGTCATGAGGTCAGGAGTTCAAGATCAGCCTGGCCAACATGGTGAAACACTGTTTCTACTAAAAATACAAAAATTAGCCGGGAGTGGTGATGCGTGCCTGTAATCCCAGCTACTTGGGAGGCTGAGGCAGGAGAATCGCTTGAACCCAGGAGGCAGAGGTTGCAGTGAGTGGAGATTGCACCATTGTACTCCAGCCTGGGTGACAGACTAAGAATCTGTCTCAAACAAAAAAAAATTTAAACATTTATATTTTGTATCTTCTATAGAAGTGCCTTGAGCATCAAGTTTGTTTTCATCTCAAATTGTAGTTTGCTGTATTAAAATAGATCAGTGAATATAATTCAGTCTTTTAGGGGTACCATGTAAAGCATAAGGTCAAATATACAATATGTTTATTGCACTTCCCATGGAGATAAATGACTGTCTTTCCTAGTTATTTTAAAAAAGGAACTCTATCATTATAATCCTCTTCCTCACCTAAAAGATATGTACATAATATAGGTCTGTTTTAAAGGAGAGGAAAAATGTTTCAAGGAGTTTTGCTTCTTTGTTTTTTAAATAGATTATTCTGCAATTTTTTTTTTTTTTTTTTTTTTTTTTTTTGAGATGAAGTCTCACTCTGTTGCCCAGGCTGGAGTGCAGTGGCATGATCTTGGCTCACTGCAACTTCCACCTCCCAGGTTCAGGCAATTCTCCTGCCTCAGCCTCCTTGAGTAGCTGGGATTATGGGCGTGTGCCACCATGCCCAGCTAATTTTTGTATTTTTAGTACAGATGAGGTTTTACCATGTTGGTCAGGCTGGTCTCAAACTCCTGACCTTTTGATCCACCTGCCTCGGCCTCCCAAAGTGCTGGGATTACAGGCATGAGCCACTGTACCTGGCCTATTCTGCCATTTTTTAAAGGAAAGGGAAACTGAAAACAGCATGTCTTTTTAAACATTGAAAAGAAATATAGAGGCTTTAAACAATAAACTGAAAAAGATGAGTAGAACAAAGGCACTGGAGCATATAATTCTATTTATTTGAGGTTAATTGAAGTTAATAATTTTGAAATGGTTTTCGAATTTTATGCTTTAAAACAGGTTTGTGATTACATACAATTTGAATTGAAAACTCAAGAAGTATGATTTTTGGAAAACCCAAACAATATTTTTCTTAGATTTTTGCGGACAAAATTTAGACCACTATACTAATTCAGACTAATATTTCAGGGGAAATGGAGTATAGTATTTAACATTTTATTCGCAATTTAACTTTTTCTTTCTTCCTATTGAACCTTGATTAAAATGTATGAATACAATACTTGGATTTTTTTTTTTTCAGCTTAGACTCTGATTGATAATTTCAGTGGTAGTGGGGAAGCCTGAATTTGTCAGCATGATTATTCGTACTCAAATTGTTCAAATGTATATAGAAGGTCCCCTTCAAGTGTTTTTCCAAACAGTCATAAATGTAAAAAGTATAAATCAGAATATCTTCTTATAACCTTACAGAGTGAGCTAACCCAATGAGTCAATACCTTTATAAGCAAAACCATGATAAATTTAAAAACAACAAAAATGTGACATGATTACTTATTTATTTGTTCTAGGTGACTCTAAATAGTTGATTTTTCTGCCCAAATGATCCTGAAAATAATTAGTTACCCTATAGTTATTTTGGAATTTAAATTAGAAGGCTTTGAAGTTGTATATTCTTGCAATACATAAAATGTCATTTATAATCAATAGTTTGTTTCAACTGATGTACACTTAAAAATAACTTATAGTTAAACTTTTCTATTTCAAGTAAAGCTTTGAATTACTTATTTTTATACATATTTGTCATGTACCCTTTATTGTTTCTAGGTGTTGATATACTTTAATAAATATGGTGACTTTAATATTTCCCCATTAGTATATTTCTTTGAAACTATTTGTTTTAAAACTTATAACACTTACTCGTTGCTAAATTCTGTGTTACAAAATTTGTTAATGGCCAAGTACAGTGGCT